AGAAATCCTCACATTCTCCCACAGAGTTATTATTTTGTGGAAGGTCTCACAGAAAGGTGATTTCTTCAGTTGGTTTCTGACACAACAGATACTCGAGTTAGGAAGCTAACGGTACTGACTTAGAAGTGAAAAGTGCATATGGAGAAGCAGATATGGCTTTTAACTTACAGGCTGAGTAAGCACAACTGGTGCACTGGAATGTTCTTTCCAGACAACCCACAATAATAAAAGACTACCTCCTTGAAATCATGCTGGACACTAGACTCCAAATGGAAACTCAGGATTACAGTCATTTACAATAAGCCATGTCAGAAGTGTATATGGCTCTCAGTTAGTAATGTAATTGAAAAGACCCAACACATTTGATGATGAGAAAAGCCACCACCCAACAAATGAAAAAGCAGGAGTCCTCAGTCCAAAATCAGTCCAGAGGCAGTCAAATTTATTTTTCTAACTCCAAGTAGAGTCATATTTATCTATTCTGTAATGATTATCTAATCACTTAATAAGCATGCCTAATTCAGAATATTTCATTACATGCCTTGGCAATCTATTTCATGCTCCCTCTCCACCAAAAATGGGAGAAATCTCCCTTAAAATAACTGAAGACAATTATAAGTTAAGCCATTTCGCGATTTATTACTCAGCATCTTATTTTCTCAATATCCCTATTACAATATAAAATCTAATTCTGGGTATTATCAAAATCCCGAATTCAATGAAAACATCCTCTTCAGTTACATGATGTTGTACTACCACTAATATTTCAGCAACTTGATAGCCTTTTTAGTAGAAAGGGTATTTTTTGCTGAAAAAATATATTTGGTAAATCAGTGGGCTCAATGTTCTCACTAAAAATAGAATTTTAGAGTTAAACATTGCTGTCTCTCAGGGTCTGTGTTAGCAAGAATCTGGAATGAGTGGAGCAGTGACTCAAATCCGGGCACTCTGATATGGCATGTGGGCATCCCAACTAGTGGCTTACCTGCTAAGCCAAACACCTGCTTCAGGTTTAAGTTTTATCATCCCATCCAGGAATTCAAAACAATGTCAATGAAAAAAATACTCCAAATTAAAAAAAAAAAAAAAAAAAAAAAAAAACCACCTTCTATTGCTTTAAGATCTATACAATCACTAAGATTGCAGCCAAGTTTTAATATGCATGTTTTTGTAACTTAACACATATTCAGAGAAATCCCAGTTACATAATCTGATCCCAACATTAAGCCTAGACCACCTGTAGTTTTAATAGTCTAACAAAAGAGAAAGAATGGGCCAGCGCTGTAGCTCACTTGGTTAATCCTCCACCTGCAGCGTCGGCACCCCGGATTCTAGTCCCAATTGGGGCGCCGGGTACTAGTCCCGGTTGGGGCACCGGATTCTATCCTGGTTGCTCCTCTTCCAGTCCAGCTCTCTGTGGCCCAGGAGGGCAGCAGAGGATGGCCCAAGTGCTTGGTCCCTGCACCCGCATGGGAGACTGGAAGGAAGCACCCGGCTCCTGGCTTCAGATGGGCGCAACGCCAGCCGTAGCGGCCATTAGGGGAGTGAACCAACAGAAGGAAGATCTTCCTCTCTGTCTCTCTCACTGCCTACAACTCTGCCTGTCAAATAAAAAAAAAAAAGAGAGAAAGAATGAACAGAAAAGAGAGAATAGTTTAATTTCATAAGGTAATCTATTAAAAGCCAGTAAGAGAAACAGAAACATCTGTAATGTTCTTTGATAAAATGTGAGAAGGATATAAATCAAGGACATGAGCATAAAAAGTATATATGCATGTATTTTGAGGAAACAGAAAATGAAGATAAAAAATGTAAAGATAAGCATTAGAGAGCAAACAATACCAACTTGTTAGGATTGTTGGAAAAACAAAATATTATACTCATTTAAAATAAAACCAATTGCAATAAGCCACAGAATTTAATTTGTAGCAACTAATAAAAAACTAGTTACCTCTCTCCAGTGCCAACTTTTCAACTGTATCCCTTGTACATTTTCCTAAGGAAAGCTGGGGTCCAATTTGATGCACAGGATACATCATTGCCAGGCCAAAGTGCTGGGGTTCGATTGTGTAAGGTTTGTATTTCGTAACTAGCACTCCTGTGCACAATATGGAAAGGGAGTGAATTGAAGGAGGAATGAGAAAAGGAGACTGGGAAAAGCAGGCTGTTTATGGGGCTAATTCACTCAACCAGGTGAGACACGATGAAGGTAGAACAACAGCAAGAGGCAGGACAGTAAATTGATTAGGGAGATACCAAAGAGATATAGAAGAGTTAGCAGATCTCAGTTACTGAAGACACTGAGGAAAGTTAAAGCTGAAAATGATTGGTCTCCAGCTTGAACTGGACAAGTACATTCATTAGATGCTGTCTCCCACCTAGGGAGTATGAGAGGGGAGTTTATCCAGTGGGAAACTGGATTGAGAAATGTCAGGACAGTTGGAAAAAAAAAAAAAAAAAGAAGAAACTTATCCCATTACTCCGGAATATAAGTGTACACAGACAAGGCCTAAGGTCATGTCAAGAGAGCAGGTCAACAGAGCTGCAAGGGTCAAGAATGAATTCCAAAACAGTTCTGGGCCATACACAAACACCTCTCATTGCTGGCAGCAATTTAGTAAATTTCTTTAGCCCCAAGTTGCTTAAAAGGTGCTTGGATCCTCTCAAAATTCCTATGCTGAAATTTTTATCCCATGTCACATTAAAAAGTGGAGCCTCCAGGAGGTGAGAGCTCAGCCCTCATGAGTGGGTTGGGTATCTAAATACTTGCATTTGTGGATTTTAACTTTTTTGGAGCACCAAAACAAACATATTTTAGTTCCATTTTCTGTGAACTTTTAGCAGTGGCCTCACTATAGGCCAGAGTGTGTTCACCCCCCTCCCTTGTGAAGACACTCAGAAGGCACCAGCTATGCAGCAGAGCCCCCACCAGACACTGATTATACTGGCACCTTGACCTGATACTTTCCAGCTACTAGAACTGTGAGAAATAAATGTCTGTTGCTTGTAAACTGCCAAGTCTAAGGCAATGTTATAGCTGCTCAAACAGACTAACACAAAGGGTAACAAGCTAAACATATTTTTCAACTGTCTAAACAGCTAGTAATTTAGTGGTAGCGGAACTATGCTAAGAAAATGACCCACAGTGTTTTCTTTAAAATGGTAAGCTGGGGCCGGCACTGTGGCGCAGCGGGTTAACGCCCTGGCCTGCAGTGCTGGCATCCCATATGGGCGCCAGTTCGAGACCCGGCTGATCCACTTCCAATCCAGCTCTCTGTTATGGCCTGGGAAAGCAGTGGAAGATGGCCCAAGTCCTTGGGCCACTGCATCCATGTGGGAGATCTTGAAGAAGCTCCTGGCTTCGGATCGGCACAGCTCCAGCCATTGCGGCCAATTGGGGAGTGAACCAGCTGACCTCTCTCTCTCTCTCTCTCTTTCTCTCTGTTTCTCTGCCTCTCCTCTCTCTGTGTAACTCTTTCAAATAAATAAATAAATCTTTAAAAAAAATAAAATAAAATAAAATGGTAAGCTAAGAGTATGGTGATGGGGCCAGCACCGTGGCTTAACAGTTAAAGCCATTGCCTGCGGTGACGGCATCCCAATGGGTGCCGGTTTGAGTCCTGGTTGCCCTACTTCCCACCCAGCTCCCTGCTAACACACCTGGGAAAGCAGTGGAAGACGGCCCAAATGCTTGGGCCCCTGCACCCATGTGGAAGACCTGGAAGGAATTTCTGGCTCCTGGTTTCAAATCAGCCCAACTCTGGCCACTGCAGCCATTTGGGGAGTGAACCAGCAGAAGGAAGATATCTCTCTGTCTCTCCCTTTCTAACTCTGCCTTTCAAATAAATAAGTAAATCTTTAAATTAAAAAAAAAAAAGTATGCTACATTTGTTCATCCTTATCCCTTAAATACAGAGGTACTTTATGCACCTTACACTGCAATTGACTTAGAAGTAGAGGACAGTTTAGGAGTATCATCTTACCACTTAAAACAAGAAACAGCATCCTTAAAAGACATTACAAAGGGACAGGCAAGTTAAGCATATGTTATCATCACAGGGTCATTCCTCAACTCAAAACATGTGAGCTCCCAAACACTGCCTTAAAGCAAAAATGATGCTACTTTTGGGGTGATGAAAATGCTTTAAAATTGATTGTGCTGGTTACCTAACTCCATGAAACTACCAATGTATGTGAATTATATTTCAATAATAAAGCTATTTAGGCCGGTGCTGCAGCTCACTTGGCTAGTCCTCCGCCTGCGGCACTGGCACCCTGAGTTCTAGTCCCGGTCGGGGCACCGAATTCTGTCCCGGTTGCTCCTCTTCCAGGCCAGCTCTCTGCTGTGGCCTGGGAAGGCAGTGGAGGATGGCCCAAGTGTTTGGGCCCTGCACCCGCATGGGAGACCAGGAGGAAGCACCTGGCTCCTGGCTTTGGATCAGTGCAGTGCACCGGCCGCAGCACCCTTTGGGGGGGTGAACCAATGGAAAAAGGAAGACCTTTCTCTTTTTCTCTCTCGCTGTCTAACTCTGCCTGTCAAAATAATAACAATAATAATAATAAAGCCATTTTAAAAAATGAATCATTTTTCAATCCACTAATAGATTTTTTTTAAGATTTATTTATTTGAAAGGCAGAGTTAGACACACACACAGGCACACATACAGAGAGAGAGATCTTCTGTCCACTGGTTCATTCCCCAAATGGTCATAGAAGGAGGGGCAGAGACTCCTGGAAGCCAGGAACCAGGAAATCCATTAGGGTCTCCAACATGGGAGTAAGAGCCCAAGCACTTCGCCATCTTCGGCCGCTTTCCCAGGAAAATTAGCAGGGAGCTGGATAGGAAGTGAAGCAGCAGGGACTCGAATCTGCACCCATATGGGCAACAGCTTAGCCCACTGTAGCACAACACAGACCCCCCTCCCCCCACTAATAGATTTTAAATGCTATAATCTACCTTAGGCTTCTTAGACTTTCTTAGATTTCAAAATTACCAAAACAACAGAGAAAAGTGTATTTTATTGGCATTTAGGCCTAGCATAGTTCAATTCAAATAAAATGGAACAAGGCAATTTATTTAAGCTAACTGAATATAACATATAAACCATTTTAACTTTGTTTTATCATATGATTGTGTTCATGCAAGTACAATCATCCAAACTGTCTTTCTAAGCATATATCATAGCACCACCTTTTATCTGCAGTACTTGATAGGTAAATTTCATTGTCAAAACATTTCAGGCTTTAGTGATGTAAACATGTTTGCTACAAGTAACCTTTAAAAGGTAAAAGTGAATGATACTAATGAATATATCAAGATAGAACAGATAGAACCACATAATATAATTAAACAAACATTATATAATACTGTTTCAATAAGAATCACAACTTAATATATTTCAGAAAGGAAGCAAAAATAAAATGTGTAAACTCCCAAAATAGTGTTAAAAATACTGAAGGATATAATGTAAAATTTATCTCAGTAAGACAAGGGGAAACAACAAAACCTTGCAATGAAAACCAAATTTGGTTTAGTAGGTACACCAAGCATTTTAATGCAAAGGCCTGCTAAAATGCACCCTGACACAACAGCTTATTATTCATCTCCTGTAAAAAAACTTACCAAGTTTTATCACCTTTGTTGGTTACTTTGTAGAAATTTCATATTTATTGTCAGTTGTGAGATTGTTACACCCAAAAAAACTTTTCATCTTTACATTGTTTGTGCAAATAATCAAAAACACTAAATTATTCTTTTGAAAATTAACATTAAAGCCAGATAATTCCTAAATAAATCATCATAAAAATAAATCTGCCTTAACAGGATAAGTACAAAAAAGTGTATATGTAAGTGCTGAAAATCACAGAAAATATCCAATGAATAAGCAAAAATGTTCACATTTATCATTACTACTCATATTGTTTCTTTCTGGCTTAAACTAGGAAGTTTTGAAATGGTCAGCAATGACATTCAGTGCCACTTTGGATTTGTCTTGCAATACACAAATAAGTTCTATTTGTCATAAAAGGCAGACTCTATTTTTATTCCTAAACATTATTAAACTATAAACACCTCAAAATTTTAAAACCAGATATAATACTGTGGTAAGCAAAACAAATTTGTTCTTAATGCTCTCATTATATAAGCTTCATCTACAAATGTGAACATTTTTCCAAATGTTGTCTGAAACCATACTAATAGAAAAAAAAGTCTAGCAAGATATCTGTTGTTTTCCACAGATAAACTGAAAAGCAAAACAATTTTAATTGAGATATTATTTCATCATTTTGAGTGTCTTGAACATGTTTAGCATTTCATGCGGCACTGGACACAGCAAGTTTCTTCAGATGATCCATAAATACTTGTAAACTAACGTCATCTGTGAGAATAGGTGCTCCAGATTCCTAGAGGGAAAAAAAAAGTATTTGCTATGATTACAACACAGTGATAACCTTGGACCGGATAAGCAATGTATAAACAAATGTCTAAAATACGTAAAGAAATCATTTTAAGTAAAATGTCTATGCCCTTGTTGAGTAAAAAAAGACTCTGAACTGGTCCTCATCCTGGTTCTTGAGGGAAGCTCGAAATACTTCGAATTCCCTGAGTAACAGGAATGTCACTGCTACTCACTGAGCACTCAGATCACACGTGAGTTTATGATGTGAGACGAGAAGGTTCTGGATGGCAAGAGAGCACCAGAAAGCCCAGATGTGATGAGCTGGAGCTTTCAGATAGCCTGAGCTCCTGCCTCTGTCTCTCCAGCATTTTAACAGAAACGTCAGCTGAGAGGAAGCAAATTCATAATGTCATTTCTAAAACAAACGTCCCAAGCTTTCAAGGAATTTTAAATCTATTTCTTTTGAGTTCCAATTAATTAACAAAAGTTAGAGAAAATTCCTAACAACCATTTTAACAAAAATTATGTTGACAGAACAACCCTCGTGACCCCAATCCACTAAGAATGCAATTTTAGGGCAGGCACTGTGCCGTGGCAAGTTAAGCTGTCACTTGGGAAGCCTTGCTGCTCTACTTCCACTTCAGCTTCTTATAATGTGCCTGGGAAGGCAGAGAAGATGGCTCAAATAATAGGTTCCCTGCACCCACATGGGAGACCCATATGGAGTTCCAGGCTCCTCGGCTTCAGCCTGGCCCAGCCCAGATTGTTGCAGGCATCTGGGAAGAGAAGCAGTAGATGGAAGATCTCTTTTGTCTGTCTCTCTCTGCCTTTCAAATAAATAAATACATAAATCTCTTAAAAAATGAAATTGTACTGTAGCAAGAATATGTATTTCTAGGTAATTTTTTATTAAATTTAAAATTTTTTTGAATTTATTTGACAGGTAGAGTTGTGGACAGTGAGAGAGAGAGACAGAGAGAGAGAGAGAGAGAGAGAGAGAGAGAAACTGGTCTTCCTTCCACTGGTTCACTCCCCAAATGGCCACTACGGCCAGCGCACCACGCTGATCCGAAGCCTGGAGCCTGGTGCTTCTCTTGGTCTCCTATGCGGGTGCAGGGCCCAAGCACTTGGGCCACTGCACTCCCTGGCCACAGCAGAGAGCTGGACTGGAAGAGGAACAACCGGGACAGAATCTGGCGCCCCAACTGGGACTAGAACCTGGTGTGCTGGTGCTGCAGGCGGAGGATTAGCCTATTGAGCCGCGGCACTGGCCTAAATTTTAAATTTTTCTTCTCACCCTCAAGTTCTTCTGTATTGATAAATATAGGGGCCAGTGATGTAGCACAGCAGGTTAAGCAATACCAGCATCACATACAGAGCACCAGTTCAAGTCCAGTTGTTCTGTTCCTAATTGAGCCCCCCTGCTTATGCACCTGGGAAGGCAGCAGATGACGGTCCAAGTACTTGGGCCCCTGCCACCCACGTGGGAGATCTGGATAGAGTTCAGGCTCCTGGCTTTGACCTGGCCCAAGTCCCAGGCCATTGCAGCCATTTGGGGAGGGAATCAGCAGATGGAAGATCAAACCCCTCCCCTCTCTGTTACTCTTTCAAATAAATAAAATAAATCCTTTAAAAATGTTCATATAAAAGTCTAAAACAAGAAAATTGATTTTCAGAAGAGATCAGCAAAATAGTGGCGAATATGAGATAAGAGTTAACAGTTCTTGTGGTTCTGGTCTAGTACAGCCATAGAGATCAGGCTCTCTGCCATAAATTTCCCTGAATAAAGGAAAATCAATTTTATGTCATGTCAGTTCATTCACAAGAACTTGAAGAACCTGACAAGGGAGGGAGGCAACAGCACTAGGATTAACAGCATTAAGTCTGGGGCCACACCGCCCGGGTACAAATTCCTGACTCTGCCACTTATTCCCCGACATCTATACACCTCCCCCATGATTTGGAGAAGTTACATAACCTGTGTCTGTCCTAGTTTCCTCAAATGTAAAATAAAGAGAACAGGATCTATCTCATATGTATTACAATGATTAAATATGACTTACACTGTATAAGGCAAACAGAATACTTCTCACATAGTAGGCACACACATGCTTAGGATATTTTCATTATTACTTCCTTTGAAAACCTATTATTTTAAACACTGATACACTTCTATTTATTCTACATTCAGAGTCAGAGAACTATAGGTCTCAAAAATGTGACCTAAAGCAGTAAAAACTCAGTGGCTCTTGCTCTAACTACTCCTGATTTTTTTTTTATTTTACTTATGTTTCCCACCTTAAATCACCCGATCCCAATCTATTTCCCCTACTTAACACAAAATAGATATGAAGTTTCTAGCTTATACACTACAGAAATCTTATTTAAAATTATAAATACTAGTGCCTAGCTCAAATTTGTTTCAAAAATTAGCAACTGTTTGTCTCGATTTTTTTTTAACGTCCCAATATTTTTTTCTCTTCAAAATATATCCAGGATTAGGCAGAAAGGTCCCAGCTTAGTCACTTAGTTATATGAAGCACTACAGCAACAAAGTTCTCCAGCACCCTGCCTACAAAGCAGTGTGACAGTGGTGCCCTCTTCAGGCCACTCATGGGTAATACCTCTCACTGGGTACTTGATTTCTGACCAGAAAAAAGAAAAGATGAAATGCCATTAATTTTTAGTGAAATGCGTTGGCTACCAAGTTAACTCACTAAATTAAAAATATCAAGTTATCTTAGAGATTAAAATATCAGAGTCTGAAGTCAGACAGGCTGGGTTATATCTGGATCCTCCAGTTTAGCTATGTGATCTTAGGTAAGTTACTTATGAAGCCTCAATTTCCTCTTCTGGAAAACAGGGTTAATAGCATCTACCACACACAAGTTTTTTAAATAATTAAAGTGCATAAAAATATCAGCATACCAGCAACAACAATATAAAGATTTAATCTATTAGTTATCATGATTACCTATAAAAATACTAACATAACTTCTTCTAAAAATTGTAGTCAATAAAGACCTTTGTTTATACCTTTTGTGCCCCTACTTTCAGAGAGTAATAATTAAACTTCCAAGTGTAACACAGGTTTCCTTTCCTGTGTTAAATATCTTTAGAAAGAGACTGTTCTATCCACTGATATCAGTGAAAACTAATAGCTAAAATTTACTGAGTATTACTGTCCAAATCAAGCATAAATTACTATTAAACTCTGCAGACAAAGAAATTAACTTGCAGAGTCTACATCCTTAACTACCAGCCCAGAATGATGCCTTTCCACGTTTAACAACTCAATAAGTTCTTTGTAAGTCTACCAACTACATCACCACATTGTAATTTAAACCCAGAGAAATGAGAAACAAGTCATTATTTCCATGAACTATAATTACAAACTAAACCATGCTCAAATGCAAATCTAGACACAAACAAGTATGTTTTATCTGGTCTGTGTTGTGTTGGTTTTCATTTTTTTTTTTTTAACTTAATTATGGAAAGGGCAATAATCAGGTACAGGAGAACAGCAACTGCCTCCTTTAGAGAAGGATTTGCGAACTCTCCACACAAACCCTCATTCACCACAGTCCCCGGACTCCCGGGTCTGCTTCCAGATACTCAGTGCCAGGTTTTCTTAAATCCAGACGGCTTCACCCATTTGTTGCTCACCTGGACCCTACATGCATTCCATGTCTGGCCCTTGACAAATAACTATTTTAGTCTAATTTAACTTTCCCTTTCCATGTTGATCAACTATTACTTCCTTAAACTGCATGGACTGATGCTACTTCTCTATCCTATTGTGATTTCATTCTTTGCATAACTATACATAAGTTCCCCTTAAGTTGCAGCATTTGGAACTAAAACCAATACTCAATTGCCAAGACTAAGTATAATGAAAAGGCTGGTTCATGATACATTTGGTATACCAATCTTCCACATGATAGCATTGTACTTGACTTTTTCTGCCCCCAGCAAGTGGAATAGGGTAGAGGATTATATTGAGAGTGTGTATGTGTATGTATTATAGGAACATAGCTTTTTCTCTTTTATCTGTACCCTTTTCCAAACTTCTATGATTAAGCTCCTTTTCTTGCTATAAAGACTCTCATCTTTCAGGACTTTCAGATCTTGCATTCAACTTATCTCTTAACTCCTAACCAACTCTACACTCTTCCACACTCTATTCTCCACTCTCAAGTCCTGTTCTGTTATACTCAATATTTACTATGTTTAAGGTATTGTGGGAAACCAAAAATGAAAATCATACAGGTATTTCTCTTAGTAATGTATAATCTAAAAGGAGAAATAAGTGCCTCAAAAAATGTTTAGAATAAAAAAGGAAGACAAGGCAAGGACATTGCACAAATTCAATCATGCAATCATATTCAAAGAAAGAGGTCTTAATCCCAGTTATTGCTTCATTTATCTTCAACCCAACCTGGATCTCATAGTTGGTCAATCAACATTGCCCCCAATTATTCTACTCCCTTTCTAACATGCTCATCTTTCTCATCCCCAGTACTAAATTATCCCCAAGTCTTCCATCTTGGATCCAGTGCCTGAACCATAAAGCATGGTTGAGAAACTTTTTGGAAGTATGCTATAAAAATTGTTAGTAAATAAAATGAGCCCTCATACTGATATAAAAACCTCTTAATCATCTTCTATTGATTTCTTATATTCCTTAATCGTTTCATTTTCCAGTCCTTAACCTCACCTTGCTCACTCTTAGCAAATAATGTATTACTGAAAGAAAGGTAAATATCCAACAGGTATTTACTCTCCACTTCAAAATTTGGCTTCACCCTTCTCATTTCTTGCCTTTTTAAAAATCTTTAATAATAGGCTGGTATTGTAGTGTAGTGGGCAAAGCTGCCGCCTGCAGTGTCAGCATCCCATATGGTGCCAGTTCGAGTCCCAGCTGCTTCACTGCAGATCCAGCTCTCTGCTCTGGCCAGGGAAAGCAGAAGACAGCCCAAGTGCTGTGTATTATATACTTTATTGCTTTTGGTTTCTAGGGTGTGGTGCCACACTTGGAATATGAAGATTCTGTCCATTCAATAGGATTATTTTTCTTCCCCTATGTTGTCAAATACTGTTTTCTACTCATTTTTTTCCATTACTTTTCCAATAATGGAAAAATTTATTACTAAATACATAGGAGGAAAAATATACCTCTCACTAAAATGACGAACTGCAAATACACAGAGAAATAACTTTTAAGACCTGCTATTTATACTTACCTGTCCCCAGGCATACATATTATTATGGGTCTGTGAAGGGTTGACTTTTGAAAGCAGAAAACGGGCCTTAAAAGCAAAGAAGAAATAATATTATCTATTAGAAATATATTTAGTTAACAGTAGCTCAATAAATACATTATAACATGTATAATCAATTTTATTTAACAGGTATTAGTATATTTTTTTAAAGTGCAACTTTTAAAAATATTAAGTAAATTTTAAATTGTATAGACTACTATTATAAATAGTAAATGTGGGGCTGATGCTGTGGCATAGTGGGTAAAGCCACCTACCACAGTGCCAGTGTCCCAAATGGGCCCAGTTCAAGGCCCAGCTGCTCCACTTCGATCTAGCTCTCTACTGTGGTCTGGGAAAGCAGTGGAAGATGGCCCAAGTCCCTGGGCCCCTGCACCCATGTGGGAGACCCGGAAGAAGCTCCTAGCTCTCAGCTTTCAATCAGTGCAGCTCCAACCATTGCGGCCAACCAGGGAGTCAACCATGGGATGGAAGACACCCCCCCCTTCTCTGCCTCTCCTTCTCTCTCTGTGTAACTCTGAATTTCAAGTAAAATAAACAAATCTAAAAATAAAAAAAAGGAGATGGCTCAAATCCTTGGACCCCTGCACCCACATGGGAGACCCAGAATATACATTGAGAGACATCAATGAGAAGATTAGTCATAAATTTTCAAATCATATTGGAAGAAGACTGGTGATTACACAAACCTTTCTCTATACTCTAATCAAATTAACCCAGCAGTGAAAAATACTGGCTCTGCAGTCAGAACACCAGAATTCAAAACCCAATTTCTCCATTTACTGTGTCTCCTTGGCCACATATAACCTAAATTTGTTTTATTACCTGTAAAATGAAGTTACAGAATTCTTATAAGAATCAAATGAGAAAAGGCATGCACTATGAAAATTCTCAATTCATGAGAACAGTATAATACGTTATGAGAAGTACAGTAAGTACAGTAAAACCCTAATAATAACTGTAATCATTTCTAAATAACAGTGACTAGTACTTGCTATCTATTTTGTAATACTGCACTAAGCACTAGGGATATAGCAATAAGCATGGTCCCTGCCTTCAAGGAGCAAGTGAAACAAACTTGTAACAACTTTTAACTATTTTATTACTAAAACTAGTAAGATGGCTAATCCTCCGCCTGCAGGTTCTAGTCCCGGTTGGGGCACTGGGTACTAGTCCCGGTTGCTCCTCTTCCAGTCCAGCTCTCTGCTGTGGCCCAGGAGTGCAGTGGAGGATGGCCCAAGTACTTGGGCCCTGCACCTGCATGGGAGACCAGGAGGAAGCACCTGGTTCCTGGCTCCAGATCAGCGCAGAGTAGCGGCCATCAGGGGAGTGAACCAACGGAAGAAAGACCTTTCTCTCTGTCTCTCTCTCTTTCACTGTCTATAACTCTTTCTCTGCCTCTCTCTCTCACTGTCTAACTCTGCCTGTCAAAAAAAAAAAAAAAAAAAACAAAAAAAAACAAACAAAAAAAAAACTAATAAGAATTACCGGGGACAAATAAGAGGTATTTAAGAGTGTATGTTGGGAGCCGGCACTGTGGTGTAGCGGGTAAAGCTACCGCCTGCAGTGCCAGCATCCCATATGGGCACCAGTTTGAGTCCTGGCTACTCCAATCCAGCTCTCTGCTATGGCCTGGGAAAGCAGTGGAAGATGGCCCAAGTTCCTGGGCCCTTGAACCCATGTGGGAGACCTGGAAGAAACTCCTGGCTCCTGGCTTCAGATCGGTGCTGCCCTGGCCATTACGGCCAATTGGGGAGTGAACCAGCGAATGGAGGACCTCTCTCTCTCTCTCTCTCTCTGCTGCTCCCTCTATCTCTCTGTAACTCTTTCAAATAAATAAATAAATCTTAAAAAAAAAAAAAAAGGAGTGTATGTTGGGGCCAGTGCTGTGGCGTAGAGGGTAGAGCTGCTGCCTGTGGCACTGGCATCCCATATGGGTGCCAGTTCGAGTCCCAGCTGCTCCACTTCTGATCCAGCTCCCTGCTGATGCGCCTGGGAAAGCAGCAGGAAGATGGCACAAGTCCTTGGGCCCCTGCACTGCATGGGAGACCCACAAGAGGCTCTTGGCTTTGGATGGGCCCAGCTCCAGCTGCTGCGGCCATCTGGGGAGTTAACTAGCAGATGGAAGACTTCTCTCTCTCTCTCTCTTTCTCTGTAACTCTGCCTTTCAAATAAATAAATCAATCTTTAAATTTAAAAAATATATATATATTTTAGAGAGAGTTAACCTATTCTTCTGAAAGGCTCAAGACGGGTGTATGTTTGCACATGTATTGTTTTCAGTCCTCACAATTGCAATATCACAATGCTTTCCTTTCACATGACTATTTATTTTTAAAAGCTGAAGTGACAGAATGAGAAAACATGAAAAACCTTGCTTCAGACTTCATAGATTTTTATCACTAAACAAACATTTTTTAAAAAAGAACATTACATTATTTCCCAAGTTATTCACATCTCTTTAATCAACTAAAGCTGACATACTACCACAATGCCATCCTAGCTCTGAGACTGAGAGCTGGGCTGGGGGCAGAAGATGGAGAGAACTGCCAGCTTCAGGCAACTAGTCAGTCTGTGCTGTCCCCCTTTGCTGGCTCAGGGCCGTCTGCCCGGGACCCCTGACAGGTGGCTCCATCTGTGTGTAAAGTCTTTCCTTCTGGTGTTCCTGTGAATCCCACACTAGCAGGGGCTTCCTGTCTTCCCTGGGCACAAGCCGGTGCTGGGACAGCTCTGATTGCCTTGCTCTCAAAGCTAACACAAAAACAAATCAGGATACACCTTCTCCCTTCTCCTTCCTTTTCCATTGGCCTTGCAAAGCCAGATATTCAAATTAAAGTAAGGAATAATTCATTGTTAAAACTATCCACAAAGAAACACACAAACAAATCAACACTACTCACCTGGCTGCCCCCATGCTCAGTGTCAATGTATCTCGGCATTGGAAATCTAGAATGAAGAATCTCCTGTGCGTCATCTACTGGGGCTTGCAGAAGGTGGCGGAAATTTTCATATTCCGGCATGTCCTGGTATCCTGACTTCCGCCATTGTGCTATTGTCTAATTTTAAAACAATTAAAGAAATCAGTTTTAAATTTCTAGCCTATCCAAAAATCTTAACATTTTTTCTAACGGAAACAATTTTCAGCAAATATTACTCGAGGATGGCGTTCATAGCTCCTGGCTTTGGCCTGGCCCAGCCCAAGCCATTAGAGCCATTTAAGGAGTAAACCAGCAAATGGAAGATTTCTCTCTCTCCATCACTCCGTCATTGAAATAAATAAACCCGAGGCTGACGCTGTGGCGTAGCAGGTAAAGCCATTGCCTGCAGTGGCAGCATTCCATATGGGTACCGATTTTAGTCCCGACTGCTCCACTTCTGATCCAGCTCTCTGCTATGGCCTAGGAAAGCTGTGGAAAATGGCCCAAGTCCTCGGGCCCCTGCCCCTGCATGGGAGAACCAGAAGAAGCTCCTGGCTCCTGGCTTCAGATCAGCCTAGCTCCTGCCATTGCAGCCATTTGGGGAGTGAACCAGTGGATGGAAGATCTCTCTCTCTGTCTGCCTCCCTGTAACTCTCCCTTTCAAATAAATAAATAAATAAATCTTAGGAAAAAAATCTTTTTTTAGAAAAGTAGAGATACAATCATCTGTACTTCTGAACTGTTAAGCACATTAAGTTATTTGAAGATTAAATTGCCATTAAAAAGCAAAAAAATCAAGCATGTTAGCACTACAGGCATTATTCTTGAACTGAAATATTAGAAACTGGCATCAACTAAAAATAGTTATAATCAATGTCTTAAAAGTACTGGAAAATATTATTTAAAAGGAGATTCTGAGCAATTCTTTTACTGTTAGAGCAAAAATCTCAGATTATTCACAATTAACGAAAATGGAAAGATAAATCCGTATAATTTACTAAAATACTAGATTCGTAAGCTTGAGTACAGGTGTGTGAAGAGAGAGTCTCTGTATCTTCCAAAGCACCCTGAGTATAGTTCCTTTCTACACAAAGCAAAGCATTGAAATACTGGCTGAAAGAATCAGTGCAGGAGCAAGTAGAGTTCTGCTAACTACCTCGATTCAAGTCTAACAGCTGCTCAGATGCGCCGCTCTTTTCCATCACTAACCATTCCAATGAAGTGAAGCTGTGAATGGTAGTTGCTTTAGCCTTTCATGAGTTTTCAAGATGATGCGGAACACTTTCAAAACATGACTGCTTATAATGATTACAGGAAATAATGAAAACAAAAGCCTGCCACTGACAAAAGCTGATTTTCCCTCTCCTAATGTCTTTAGGCTTAAGCTGAAATGTCATGTCATTGTATTTGTCAATGTTCTTACTTTCACAACACTATGCTTTATGCAAATCCATTTGTCCAACTGTATGTGGACAGAACAAAATTATCACTGGTGGATCAACTGCAACTGAAGCCCAAACATCTGCAGCAGTAAGAATTACATTTTACACATATTTTACACAAATGGAATTCAGAGCTTATTATACATGAAACATTAGCCATCTAATGGAAGGGGAAAAGTTTCCCTAAATAAAAAGACTTTATACATGCATAGCTTTATTATTTGTTTCCTTTTATTTTTAGCTAACACACAAACTGTACATATTTAAGAGGTACCATGTGATGTTTCTATACATGTTTACATAGCCAAAAGCCCAATTTGGGTAAATATATCTATCTGCTCAAACACCTAATATTTCTTTATGGTAAAAAACATACAAAATTATGCATAGCTGTAAACCTTACCTCACCATGATAAATCAAAATCTGGAAGAATGTGTCCATGAGAAGAATACGATCTGCAAGAATGCTGCTGCTATCAAGAAGAACCGGCTAACATGAAAACAATATCAGAAAAAAATGAAAAATAAATTATTTGTTTAAAGATACATAATAGATTTTTCCAGGATACTTTCCAAATTTTTAATTTATAATTTATTACTTAAAAGCTCCTGTTCTTAGGAATTTTCTCAGCATTTTTTTTTTAGCATTTTTTTTTGACAGGCAGAGTGGCTCAGCATATTTTAATTTAGTTTGCTAAGTAATTTCCTTAAGCAGAGGCAACAAACAATTATAAACAACTAAAAACCCAGATGTCCATCAGCTGTTGATTGGATAAAGAAATTATGGTGTGTGTGTGTGTGTGTGTGTGTGTGTGTGTGTGTGAGTATATATATAGAGAGAGAGAGACTATGGAGTACTACTCAGCTGTAAAAAAAATGAAATCCTGTCTTTTGCAATGAAATGGACACAAGTGGAAATCATTATACTTAGTGAAATAAGGTAGTCCCAGAAGGACAGATACCATGTTTCCCCTGATCCAAGGTAATTAATTAATAGAGTACCTAAAATGTAATGTATTGGAGTAAAATGCACATTTTGAGATTCAATGATTGTTTACAGCCCTGTCTCTTCCGTTAATGAACAGTATCTTTTTTCTTCATACTATTTGTCGAACGCTTTTACTTACTGTAAGGGTTAACTTTACAATCATTAAGTAAACTGAAAGTAGATCTTTGTAAAAATTAAGAGTGGGAATGGGAGAGGGAGGAGGAATAAAGGTTGGAATGTGGGTGGGAGGAAGGGTAGGGTGGGAAGTGTCACTATGTTCCTAAATCTGTATATATGAAATACATGAGACTTGTATAACTTTTTTAAAAAATTCAATTTTTAAAAAAGCAAAAAAAAAAAAAGAAAGAAAAGAAAAAATCAAGGATGACTCCTAAGCCCGATAGTGCAGAACTAAGTAAAACAGAAAACACTTAGGCTAGAGAAAATATGGAGCACACAGGAATATGTGAAATGAAATGCAGTGGTTTGAGCTGATGAAATCAACTCGGGTATCACATGCAAAAAGATTTGGGATTTGCAGCATTACGTAGAGAGAGGAAAAACAGGGAAGGCCAAAAGATCAAGCCCTGAAGCATGCCAACAAGGTCTAAAAGAGAGAAGTCAGAATCAGGAAACTGAGAAGGGATAGTCAGTGAGTAAGAGGAAAACCAGTAGGGGTTATACGTGTCACAGAAGCCTCAGCAATGATTCACTAATAAATGCTGTTGAGAGCATGTTGAGGAAGCTGTGAGATATTTCTGGTCTCCACAGAGCCATTTCAGTATATGTTAGGGACAAAAGTCTGACTATTACAGGTTGAGAAAAGAATGTAAAGTAAGAAAAGATAAACAATAAACAAGATAGGCAATAAACTTTTTAACTGTGACCAGGAGCAAAGATATAGAATAGTAATTAGAGAAAACGTGGAGTCAAGGTAGGGTTTCTCAAGTTTTCTTTTTTAATATTTGTATGAGTGCTACTAAAGCAGCTATGTAAAGGGCTGGCATTGTGGCATAGCAGGTTAAGCCATGACTTGCAATGTTGGAAACCCCCATGGGCACTGGTTCAAGTTCCAGATGTTCTACTTCTAATCCAGCTCCCTGCTAATGTGTTTGGGAAAGTAGTGGAAGATGGCCCAAGTCCTTGGGCCCCTCTCATGAGGGAGACCTGGATGGAGCTCTTGGCTCCTGGCTTCAGCCTGGCCCAGCCCTGGCCATTGTGGCCATTTGGGGAGTGAACCAGCAGATGGAAGATTTCTCTGTCTCTCCCTCTCTCTGTAATTATTCCTTTCAAATAAATAAAATAAATCTTTAAAGTTTCTATGTCAATGAGAATGACACAGATGGACAGAAATTATGACCTAGGAGAGAAAGAAGATAACTCCAAACATACAGCCTTAGGAAAATGAAACTAGTGATATTCATGAGTAAAACAAATTTGGAATTTGACAGGAACAGGCTATTAGGAATGATGGGACTCAAATTTTCTTCAAAACATCATACATTTTTCAGATGTCTACAATTTACATGTATTACTCTAAAATAAGACGTTAACTCTAAAACTGATCAAAGAACTACAAGATAAAAATATATAGGTAGACCAACATTATATTTTAAAATGTTTTCTTAAAAAATAGAAACTATTTCAAAAATTAAGAACAACAAAAAATCCAAGCCTGTAATAACAAAATAGAACACTTTACTCAATAGTTTACAAGTAAACAGTGAATAAGTATCATGAGGGATCATGATCAAATTTTTTTCCTTTATACTTATCCTTTCTAAAGTATTACTTCCAAATGTAGTCATTTCATACATGGGAGTGGTAAACAGATCACTTTAACTACAAGTGGAAAAACTGCTCGTGTATTAATTTGGTCTCACGGTAAGAGGCCTACACCCCTACTGGAGTGCGTGGATTCAGATTCCAGCCCCACTCCAGACTCCAGCTTCCTGATAAAGCTCAGCCAGGGAGGCAACAGGAGATGGCTCAAGTAATTAGGTCCTTGCCACCTACGTGGAGACCTAGACCGAGTTCTCAGTTCTGTTTCAGCTCCCCACCCAGTGATGTTACGAGCAGTTGGGGAGTATGAAGCCTGTGGATGCTCTGTCTTATCTGTCTCTGTCTCTCAAAAAATAAAAATTTAAAAACCAAAGTAACTGGGATAGTCTGCCAGAAATGTTAAATGGATGACTTTTTAAAAATTTTTTTAAATGGATGACTTTAACACTCCTCTATCTATATATCTTTAAAAACAACTGTATCTTACTTTTTTAAAAGACCAAAAGAAAATGACATTTTATAATACAGAAAACTATATAGACAGAAGGTCCTGTCAGACACTAAATTCTGGAATAAGTGACAGACTATAGACTCATAATCATATCTGGACATTGTTAAATACATAAAAAATAATCATAAGCTCTAGAGGACTGATCAACCAAATACCTAGACAAAATGGTCTAAAGAGCTCTTCCACCTCATTTAAAATAATTTTTAAAAGGAAAAAACATAACTTCTAAAATAATGTATAATCAGCTTAGCAAGATACATAGCATAAATAATTTAAAGTGAAACATGAATAGCTTGAGATAAGTATTCTTTTAACTAAATTCTTAAATGTAATAACTATATTTTTAAAAAATGAGTTGCTTTTACCTTTTTAACGCCATAAATCACAATAACAAGATCAATTTCATTTTTTCCTGCACTCTTACCTCCGGTGGCCCACTAAAAGAATATGCATACAGAATGGGCTGAATCATGATTAGAGACTGGGTCAGATCTTGACGCATAAAATGGTGACGATAATAGGAACTCTCATCAGGACTATTGTTAAAAATTTGTAAGAAAGGAGATCTTCTTAAATGAAACATAAACTGCAAGATAAGACAAGCAAGAGAGCTTTTACTGATTTTAATATTGTGATAGTACACTATTAACAAAAGAATCTGATTATAACTACTAACAAAATAAAACAAGTTTTAAGAACATACTAAACTGTATTCCTCAGAAAGGAATCTAATCATATTTACTAGCTGCTTAAAAATATAATTCTAGGAGCTGATATTGTGGCACAGCAGTTTAAGCCGTGGCCTGTAATGCCGGCATATCATATGGGCACCAGTTAAGAGTTTGGGCTGCTCCACTTCTGATCCAGCTCCCTGCTAATGTGTCTAGGAAAATAAGTGGGAGATGACCCAAGCATATTTGGCCCTGCCACCCATGTAGGAGATTCAGAAGAAGCTCCTGCCTCCCAATTTTGGCCTCACCCAGCCCCAGCTGTTGTGGCCATTTGGGGAGTGAACTAGCAGACGAAAGCACTCATACACACGCTCATGCTCTCTCTTCTAACTCTGCCTTTCAAAAAAATTAGTAAATTAAAAAAATAAAAAACAGGCAGAGGAGATGAAAGACTGAATAAAGAACAGCTACACTGGGCCTTTAATACAATCCACGGGATCAGCCCCAAGCACTCCCACTGAACTTAGTCACTTCTCTTAAAGCTTCAGCCATCAGGTCCAAGTGCCTGCTGTGGCTCATGGCTGGAACTCACCCTGAAATTCCTCTTTCATAGCTTTTATCAGTCCAGACCCACCAAGAGGCACTCAGCTCTTACTACTTCATTCATTCCCGTTTAACCACAGAGATGTCTGTTAAGTTTTAGGTAAATATTTTCTGATGAAGACTTCCCTTTTGTCTATGCCACCTTTCAGAAGATTATAAAGATTTGAAAACCCAAGAAAAAAAGACAGCTGAAGGTTTAGACAAAGTTTCCATGGATAAAAGGCTGAATTTCCATATTTCAATATTAATTATCCTTCCAGGCTAAACTCCTTAATAAAGATATGTATCAAATCATCTATTTGAAAGGATTCCTTTAATTTCCTTTAAATTCTATTTATGTTCCATAGCATTTTTCAGTTTGTCTTCTGTGTTCATTGTATTTCAGATCTCATCCTGGAGCCAGAAAGTTCCTTCTAAGTGGGATCCATACCATCATCTTTATCCTACCAAAGTTCTCTGCACAAGGTACTTTGTTGAACGCAACTGAATAAATGCTACCTCTGTTACTTTCTTATTACGCAAACCTAGATTTTAAAACTGTCTATTAAATTGAAAGATACATGGAAGGATAGGTTCCATGGCTCCAAGTAAAAAAGGTTCTATAAGGTGATTCAAATTAGTTTCTTATTACTTACCTGGTATAGCCCAATTAAGTTGCTCTCAGGTGATGATATAATGCTGGGAAGATTAGCTAACTGGTAAAATTACTTCAGATAAAGTCTTTTGGTACCACTATAATTAGATCCATTTTTATCAAATAGAAACCCAGTTACCCTTATACTTAATTGTAGGGTTCCACTGTAAATATCTAATTGCACCAAATAAATGACTATTTGCAAAGTCAATATAAAAATACCATATACTAGGGCTGGCATTGGGGTACAGTGGGCATAGCCACCACTTGCAATGCCAGCATCCCTATCAGAATGCCGGTTCAACTCCCGGCTACACCACTTCCAAACCAGCTCCTTGCTAATAATCCTGGGAAAGCAGCAGATGATGGTCCAAATATTTATGACCCTGTCACCTATGTGGGAGACCCTGATGGAGTTCAAGGCTCTGGCTTCAGCCTAATCCAGCTCTGACCATTGGGGCCATTTGGGAAGTGAGCCAGCTGAAGGAAGACCTCTCTTTCTATCTCTCTCTCCGGCACTCTTTCAAATAATAAACAAATAAATAATAAATCTTTAAAAAAAAAACACTGTATACATTCACTGATTACAAACAGCACAATATTAAATTTTTAGCTATCCCCAAAACTCCCCTAACAAAACAGGTCCTATAAAAGACAAATAACAGGAAAGGTAAGATCCAATGCTACTGGCAACACAGGAAAAGAACATTCATCTTGTACCTACTTACCTGTGGATAAAGGGAAAATGTTTCTGAGAATCTGAAGGAACTTGGATCATCTTTGTGATATTCTCCAAACTTCTGACACTAAATACAAGAAAATGTGTTAGCAAGATATAAACCATCTGAAGTGCCCTCATATTGAAAAAAAATTAGAACATTACTTACAGACTTACCAAGAGACTAATTATAACCAAAAGAAAACATCTGTACTTCAGAAGCAATACTTCACACCAATGCAGTAAAAACTCCCCAGAAAGTCTGAATTTTTCTTTAACAAAGCATCTCTCACAGCAAATAAAAAACTCTTAGGTACCTACCAAAAAAGTGTAATATAAGCCCTGTAAGACTCTTAAAAACACAGCTAACTGGGGCTGTCATTGTGGCAATATAGCAGGTAAAGCCACCATCTGTGATGCTGACATCCCACATGGTGCCAGTTCATGTCCCAGCTGCTCCACTTTTTTTTTTTTTTAATTTATTTGACAAAGTTAGACAGTGAGACAGACAGAGACAGAGAGAGAGGTCTTCCTTTTTCCATTGGTTCATCCCCCAAATGGCCACTACAGCCGGTGATGCGCTGATCCGAAGCCAGGAGCCAGGTGCTTCTTCCTGGTCTCCCATGCAGGTGCAGGAGCCCAAGCACTTGGGCCATCCTCCACTGCACTCCCGGGCCACAGCAGAGAGCTGGACTGGAAGAGGAGCAACTGGGACTAGAACCCAGCACCCATATGGGATGCCGGCGCCGCAGGCGGAGGATCAACCAAGTGAGCCACAGTGCCGGCCCCTGCTCCACTTTCAATCCAGTTCCCTGCTAGTGGCCTAGGAAAAGCAGCAGAAGGCAGTCCAGGTGTTTGGATCTCTGCCACCGATGTGGGAGACATGGATGAAGCTCCTGACTTGTGGCCTCTGGCCTCATACCTAGCCCCAGCACTGGCCATGACAGCCATTTGGGGAGTAAATCAGTGGATGGAAGATCCCTCTCTGTCTTTCCTTCTTTTTCTCTGTAACTCTTTCAACTAAATAAATCTTTAAAAAACAAAGAAGACAGCCAACTGACAGAAAGATGCTCTATAAAATGCCACAGCAGCTATGAAAGTAAGTTACTGGTATACCAGAAATACAAGAAAGGCAAGTTGAAGAAAAGAAAGCCAGACGGAAGGGTGATACACTGGCACAGTGGGTTAAGTTGCTGCTTGTGATGCCAGCATCCTATGTGGGAGGGCCAGTTTGAGTTCTAGTTGCTTCACTTTTTTAAGATTTATTTATTTATTTGAAAGGCAGAGTTGCAGAGGCAGACAGAGAGAAAGAGGGGTCTTCCAGGTGCTGATTCACTCCTCAAATGGCCACAATAGCTGGAGCTGTGCTGATCTGAAGCCAGGAGCCTGGAGCTTCTTCCGGGTCTCCCACGCAGGGGCAGGGGCACAAGCACTTGGGCCATCCTCTACTTCTTTCCCAGGCCATAGCAGAGAGCTAGACTGGAAGTGGAGCAGCCAGAACTTGAACTGGCGCCCACATGGGATGCCAGCGCTGCAGGAGGCATCTTTACCCGCTATGCCACAGCATCGACCCCTGCTTCATTTCTGATCCTGTTTTTTACTAACACCCCTGGAAAAACAAAGGAGAACAGGTCAAGTACATGAGTTCCTGCCTCCCACATGGGAGAACAGGATGGAATTCCTGGTTCCTGGCTTCAGCCTAACCCAGCCTTAGCTGTTGTGGGCATTTAGGGAGTAAATCATTGAATGTAAGCTCTCTCTCCCCAATACTTTGTCTCTTACACAAATAAATCTAAAAATAAAAGAAAAAAACCAAGAAGACCAACAGGTAATCAGGTAAAGAAACACAAAGACAGACATTCAAAGAAAATTTTACAAACATTGGCATTAAATTCTGCTTATAATATTTTTAATCAATTTGACTTCTATCATTTTTCTTTATTGGCTTTCTACCTTTGGTTTCATGTTAAAAAACACTTCCACATCTAAAGGTTTAAATACATATTAACCTATTTTTTGACAAATATTTATCTTCATCTGAGACTTCATGGCACATATACACTAATTTTATTCAATCAATTAAAGGAAGGACCATGAAGACCACAGCTTCACCACTTTTACTACATATGATAGGAGTTTTCAGTCACAAAGGGTTCTGTAACAGGCTGTGACTTTTTTTTAATTGAATTCTGTGTACTTCATGGCCAGCCATACAGATGGATAGTGACCAAGTGTCCTGCTGGTAATTTCACAGAGAAGCCAGCTTTGTGGCACAGTAGTTTAAGCCACCAGCTACAAAACCGGCATGCTGTATCAGAGCAGTGGTTCAAGTTCTAGCAGCTCTGCTTGCAATCCAGCTCCTGCTAGCCTGGGATAGCAATGGAAGATGGTCCAACTACTTGGAGCCCCTGCCACTCACTTGAGAGATTCAAATGTAGTTTCTGGATCCTGGCTTTCGCCTAACCCAACCCTAGCCATTGCAGCCTTGTGAGGAGTGAACCAGCAATGGAAGAACTCTTTCTCTGTCACTCTGCCTTTCAAATAAATAAAATAAAGCTTAAAAAAATTTTTTTCCCATAGAAATCTTTCAGCCCCACACAGCAATAGGCAGTATGACTGTTCGCTTGGATAACCTCACTTAGTTTCTGCTGTTTTACAAAGAAGCAGAACAGCAGTCTAATGACATCAGTCTCTCCCTACTAAATTATCTGCACAACTTATACCTGCACACATGCTGCCACCAACTGACTTATGGTGAAGTTCTACTGGTGTGACAGATAAGTTCTATTGGTGTGACAGGTAACTTGTGTGACAGATCTGTGCCATGAAAGACCCGTTCTCCAGCCCCAACAGCCCCAACAGCCCCAACAGCCCTGCCGCTATTATAACCACTGCAAAATACAAGACCTGTACAAGTTCTCCTGTGAGATGTTTGGTAAACTTTCTACTTATTGCAGCTCTCTGCTATTTATTAAGCTCTTCTGTTTTATTAGAGTGTGTTTTACAAACATTTCAAGTAATATGGTAATTTCTGAAGTTGAGGTGTGAGTTAGAAAGACAGATTCCAGACCTAGGTTTGTTGGGAATTCTGAAGATTTACAATCCTTTGTCATTTCACTGTACTCACGCATCAAGGGACTCAGAAAAGATCCATCTTCACAATGAAAGGTACTTATCAGCGGTTTTAATACAAGTTGAACTATTCAATTTTGCATCATATGTGACAAATTAAATAGAGCAGCAGCTCCAAAATTGGAAAAAGTACTTTAGTGGAAATCACAGCCACTTGACAAGGAAAGGTTTTGATTACTTCAAAGAGCTTTTTAGAATCGCAAAACAATAAAGTATTTTTAATAACATTCTTTTTAATTTTTTATATTATTATTATTTATTTGAAAGGCAGAGTTAAAAAGGGGCAGAGGTGGTCTTCCATCCTCTGGTTGACTCCGCAAGTGTCCGCAACGGCCGGAGCTGGGCCCATCTGAGGCCAGGAGTTTCTTTCAGGTCTCCCAAGAACTTGGGCTGTCTTCTACTGCTTTCCCAGGCCATAGCAGAGAGCTTGATCGGAAGCGGAGCTGCAGGGACTTGACCCGGTATCCATATGGGATGCCGGCACTGCAGGTAGCAGCTTTATCCTTCATACCTTTATACCATAGTGCCAGCCCCAACAATAAAGTATTTGTAAAACAAAGTTAAATTCAAGGAAGAGGCTTGGGAAACAAGTGTTTCAGAGTGCAACTTACTACCAAGACAGTGGTTAGTGAGAACCCAACAATGCAATGTCAACATGTAAAATTACAGTAAGTAAAATGCTAACACAAGATGTAGTCTGAGAAATTGAAAAAGTTCCAGTTTAAAACAGTCCAATAGGGGCCAGTGCCGTGGCTCACTTGGTTAATCCCCCGCCTGCAGTGCCAGCATCCCATATGGGCACTGGGTTCTAGTCCCAGTTGCTCCTCTTCCAGTCCAGCTCTCTGCTGTGGCCTGGGAGTACAGTGGAGGATGGCCCAAGTGCTTGAGCGCCTGCACCCTCATGGGAGACCAGAAAAAGCACCTGGCTCCTGGCTTCGGATTGGCGCGCGCCAGCCGTAGCGGCCATTTGAGGGGTGAACCAATGGAAGGAAGACCTTTCTCTCTGTCTCTCTCACTGTCTAACTCTGCCTGTCCAATAAAAAAAAAATGTCCAATAAGTTAAAGTACTAATGATACATCATATAATGCTGAAGAGGATTGCATAATAAGCTGGGAAAAAATAGTTTCTCTGTTCAGGTTGATGAGTTAGCAGGTTTTACCAATGTCATCTCAGGTTTCTAAATAATAGTGAAATTCAAGAAAACTTTTCTCTTACAATGAGAAACTTCTCTGCCACCCTAAGCAAGCAAAGGACAAAATATTTTTAATGTTTCATTCTCCAATCTAGAACCAAAAGGTCCATACTGAAGGAACTGATGGTGTCTCATCAGTGGCTGAGCCTATGAGAGGTTTAAATCTCTCTGGTTAAAAATGTTAATATTGTCACAAGGCTGCTTTCTTCACAAAAATAAAATGCTAATGTAAAACAACTCTTGGAGACAAAAACTAAAAAGCTCTGGATGATACTATAAAAATGGTTTGCTGGAGCCCGCGATGTGGCATAGTGGGTAAAAGCCACCACCTGCAGTGCCGGCATCCCATATGGGCGCCAGTTCAAGTCCCAGCTGCTCCACTTCTGATCCAGCTCTCTGCTATGACCTGGGAAAGCAGCAGAAGATGGTCCAAGTCTTTGGGACTCTGCACCCATGTGGGAGATCTGGAAGAAGCTCCTGGCTTCTGGCTTCGGATCAGCACAGTTCCGGCCATTGCAGCCAATTGGGGAGTGAACCAGGGATGGAAGACCCCTCTCTCTGCCTCTCCTTCTCTCTGTGTAACTCTGACTTTCAAGTAAAATAAATAAATCTTTAAAAAAAAAATGATCTGCTTTATTAACTAGGTTACTCAGGGGCTAGCACTGTGGTATAGCAGGTAAAGTCGCTGCCTACAGTGCTACCATTCCATATGAATGCCAGTTCATGTCCTGGCTGTTCCACTTAGAATCCAGATCCCTGATGATGTGCCTGAGAAAACAATAGAGGATGGCCCAAGTATTTGGGCCCCTGCACCCACATGGGAGATCCAGAAGAAGTTCCTGGCTCTTGGCTTCGGCCTGTCCCAGTCCCAGCCAGTAGTGAACCAGTAGATAGAAGATTTGTCTCTGTCACTCTTTCTTTCTCTGTAACTGCCTTTCAAATAAATAAAGTTTAAAAAAAAAAAAAAAAAAAACACCAAAAACGGAGTATCAGGATGGTTTGTGTGCACATCGGGTTAAACTGCCACTTGAGATGCCTGCATCCTGTACTGGAATGACAGTTTGAGTCCCAGCTACTCCACTTCCCATCCAGCATCCTTCTAATACATCCTGGGAGCCCCTGCCACCCACGTGAGAGACCCACATAGAGTTCTGGGCTCCTGACTTGAGCCTGGCCCAGCCCTGGCTGTTGTGGACACTGGGAGAATAATCCAGCAGATGGAAGATCAATCAACCAATCGATTGATCAATCAATCTCTCTCTCTCCCCCTCTCTGTTGCTCTGCCTTTCAAGTAGATGGAAGTAAATACATAAACATTTAAGAAATAAGTAAAAATTTATAAATTAGTGTCAGGAATTAAGCCTAATGAAATTCACTAGGTCCTAATATAAGTAATGAGCTCCTAGCATGTTTAAAAAAAAATGTCAGTTAACATTACTAGCACACATTTAGCAATCCAGAGCCATATGGTCAAGACCTGTCTATATGTTATATCTTAATATGTACAATTTATGCATCAATTAACTTTTTAAAATATGCATTTCTATTCAAATGCAAATAGAAAACTGAAGCCACAGCAATGAAGAAATACACATAAAGTAATAAAAGCAGCTGTAAAAATTTAGAATGTGGAGCTAATTACACACCAGGACCCCCAAAATAGAAAAAATAAAGGTCTATTTAATTGTCACTCCTTTGTTTTAAGGAAAAAGGACAGTCTAGTTTATAAGAAGAGATAACTAAATTCTACTATTCATTACTATGCTACTATCTCAGTAATTTCAATAGAAATCCTTCATAGTTCAGGTACACTGTTAAGTACTATTAAGGTTAGCTGAAAATTTATTACAAATTAAAACAAATGGATTCAGAGAGCATTACATCTTACCAGTCGAATGAGCTGTCTATCCAGCCATCTAAGCACATCTGGCCCTTCTTCCGTTTCTGCTCTATATATGGCCAGCCGGGCCATAAGAATAGCAGCTGCCTCCTGGTCAAAAGATGCAGCGATGTTTTGGATTTGAGTTTGAGCATCTGCCCAGCTACAGACAATAGGAAGTACAGAAAAGCAGCTCAATTACTGTATTCACAACATCACAGTTAGCTACAACAGACTTAAATTAAAATGATACCAAATGCTACTTCAATATTTTGAAATTTCAATACTACCAAGACAAATTAGCAATTCTTCTAAAACACTAATAGCAGTTTCAGAAGAGTATTCACTGTTTTTCAGAAAAATATAATCTAACCTTAAAAAAAAATCCTAAGAATAAAGGTGAGGAGTTTTCAAGATGGCGGAATAGGGAGGGAGCTCAATGTCTAACCTAGAGGAAGATAGTTTAAAAAAAGTGGAGAGAGTGCAGCCTCAGGGAAGAGTTAGGGAGAAAGCAGCAGAGGAAACTCTGCGCAAATTAGAGGAACACAGCAGACCCACATGGAGGGTGTGGAGGCACACAGCTCAGGACCCCAGCAGCTGAGAGCCTCAGCACCAGCATTGGAGAGTGAGGTAACACGAGACTGCAGCAGCCCAAACAACTGACAATAAAGCTGCAGGAAGAGCCTGGCATGAGTCAGGGTTGAAGCCTTGTGGGGGACAGTGTACCCGCCAACCTGGAGGGAAAAAAAAGGAGGGTACATGTCTCTCTCCCTGACCACCTGGCACCAGAGTCATATAATTAGCCAATAGATGGCAGGTGCCATTTTGGACATCAATAATAACTGTGTTAGCTCATGGCCATGCGCCCAACAATCTGCTGAGAGGAGATGCCTGAGTCTGGCTGGGTGCTCATAACTATGGGGCTCCTGTGTACTAGGACGGTGAAAACACTGTGGGTATGTGGGAGGGTGCAGGGGGCAGCTGGGACTGTGGGCAGTCACTGTGGCAGCTCCATATGCTCGGGTTCCCCGATTCCCTGGTGAGGGTCACTGCTGCGGGATCTGTGCTCAGACCTAGGACTGCCATGGATATTTTGTGTGGTTCTTATGACACATGGATGAATAATGTAACCACTGGAACTAGCACCCAGGCATTGGTCTCCTTAGAGGGGAGGAGGTGAGCATGAGAATACACCAACAGAGCAGAACAAACCCCCCCCGATTAAAAAATAAAAATAAAGAGATTTACCATGCCCAACCTGGGTGTCACCTTGGACACCTCCCTCTCCCTGGAGCACTGAACAGAGCTCCCTGACTGCACCCAGCACATGCCTCTGGGTATTCACTGAAAGAACAGACAATCCACTAAGCCACAGAGGCATACACCAAAGCTAAATGCCATCGCAGAGGAAAAAAAAAGTATCACCACAAATGTCTAATAATAAATGTAGCAATTTAAGAAACAAGAATAAAGAAGACAACATGACACCCCCAAAAGAACACAACACTTCAATACTAAAATGTGAAGATGGAAAGATTGGCCAGCGCCACAGCTCAATAGGCTAATCCTCCGCCTGCAACACTGGCACACTGGGTTCTAGTCCCGGTCAGGGCGCCAGATTCTGTCCTGGTTGCCCTTCTTCCAGGCCAGCTCTCTGCTGTGGCTAGGGAAGGCAGTGGAGGATGGCCCAAGGGCCCTGCACCCGCAGGGGAGACCAGGAGGAGCACCTGGCTCCTGGCTTCGGATCAGCGCGGTGCGCCGGTTGCAGCGCACCAGCTACAGCGCACCGTGGGGGCCATTGGAGGATGAACCAACAGCAAAAGGAAGACCTTTCTCTCTGTCTCTCTCTCACACTGTCCATTCTGCCTGTCAAAAAAAAAAAAAAAAAAAAGATGGAAAGATTGATGAAATGTCAGAAAAAATTAATCATAGGATTACTTAGAAGTAATCAGAGGCAAATCACAAACTGAAGAAATCCTTACATGACATGAAAAAATTTTAATCATTAAATTGAGATATTAAAGAAATCAAAACAGAATATTGGAAATGAAAAATTCAACAGATCAAATAAAAAATACAGTGGGAAGCCTTAACAACAGACTCAGTAGGTGAGAGGAAAGAATATCCAAGTTAGAGGACAAATCTCTGGAAATTTTACAGTCAGACCAAAAAAAAGCAGAAATTAAAACATTAAAAAACACTGTTGGATATTGATGGGATACTATCAATCAACCCAACATATGGGTCTTAGGAGTTCCTAAAGACATGGAAAGAGAGAATGGGTTAGAAGGCCTTTTTAGTGAAATAATTACAGAAAACTTCCCTAATTTGGAGAAAGAAAGGGACGTCCAAGTACAGGAAGCATATAGAACTCCTAATAGACATGGTCAAAAAAGATCTTCACCACAACACATTGTAGTCAAACTCTCCACAGAAAAACATAAAGAAAAAATATTAAATGTGAATGAGAGAAACGCCAGATTACTATCAGAGGATCTGTAATTGAACTCATAGCTGACTTCTCATCAGAAATCCTACAGGCTAGGAGAGAATGGTGAAAAATTCCAAGTCTTAAGAGGAAAAAAAACTGTCAACACAGAATACTGCAACCTGCAAAGCTCCCATTTGAGAATGAAGGTGAAATAAGGACCTTGCATAACAAACAGAAATTGAAAGACTTTGTCACCACTCTTCCAGCCTTACAAAAGATACTTAAGGATGTGCTGCACACAGAAACACAGAAAAATGGTCATCACTATGAAGGAAACTGAAGGCAGAAAATCTCCCAGGAAAAGACAAAAGAAATCCAAAGTAAAATAAAAGTGTTTATGGGAAAATGGCAAGGCCAATGGTTACTTATCAATAGTTTCCTTGAATGTAAATGACCTCAAGTCTCCAGTTAAAAAATACAAACTGGCTGAATGGATTAAAAAAACAAAACCCATCTATGTGCTGCCAAAAACAAAAACAAAAACAAAACAACAACAACAAAAAAAAAAAACACACACATCTCACCAACAAAGGTACAGGCAGACTAAAAGTGAAAGGATGGAAAAAGATATTTCATGCTAACAGAAACCAAAAAAGAGCTGGTGTAGCCATCCTACTATCAGACAAAATAGACTCTAACACAAAAACTGTTAATAGAGAAAAAGAAGGGCACTATATAATGATTAAGGGATCAATTCAACAGGAAGATGTGACTATTGTAAATGTGTAGGGACCTAATTATAGGTCACCCAGCTATTGAAAAGAAATGCTAATGGAACTAAAGGGAGACATAGACTCCAATGCAACAGTAATGGGGGACTTCAATACCCTACTTTCAGCCAGACACAAAATCAATAAAGGAACAACAGAGTTAATTGACACTATAGACCAAATGGACCTAAAAGATATTTACAGAACTTTTCATCCTATAGCCACAGAATACACATTCTTCTCAACAGTGTATGGAACATTTTCTAGGATTGACTACAGGTTGGGCCATAAAGCAAGTCTACACAAATACAAAAAAATCAAAATCATACTATGCATCACCTCTGACCATAAATGCAATGAAACTGGAAATCAACAACTCAAGAATCACCAGAATACATGTAAACAAATGGAGACTGAGCCACATGATCCTGAATAAACAGTGGGTCATAGAAGAAATCAAAGAGAAATCAAAAAATTTCTGGAAATGAATGAGATGACAACACAACATATCAAACCTTAGGGAATACAGCAAAAGTAATGTTAAAGGGAAAGTTCATAGTATTTGGTGCCTATGTCAAGAAATTGGAAGGGAACCAAATAAATGCATCTCAAAGACTTACAAAAACAACAGCAAACCAAACCCAGAACTAGTAGAGGGAAAGAAATAATTAAAATTAGAGAAGAAATAAAGAAAATTGAAACAAAAAAGTACTAAATTTTAGTAAAATGAAGAGCTAGTTTTTTGAAAAAAGAAACAAAATTGGCAAACCATTGGCCCAACTAACCAAAAGAAGGAGAGAGAAGACCCAAATCAATAAAATTAGAGATGAAAAGGGAATGTAACAACAGACACCACAGAAATAAAAAGAATCATCGGGGCCAGCGCTGTGGCTCAGTGGGTTAACGCCCTGGCCTGAAGCGCCGGCATCCCATATGGGCGCTGGTTCTAGTCCCGCCTGCCCCTCTTCCAATCTAGCTCTCGGCTATGGACTGGGAAAGCAGTAGAAGAAGCCCCTGCACCTGAGTGGTCTCCTGAGTGGGAGACCTGGAGGAATCTCCTGGCTCCTGGCTTTGGATCAGTGCAGCTCCAGCCGTTGTGGCCATCTGGGGAGGGAACCAGTGGATGGAAGACCTCTCTCTGTCTCTACCTCTCTCTATAACTCTCTTTCAAATAAAATAAAATAAATCTTTAAAAAAAAAAAGAATCATCAGGAATTACTACAAAGAGCTATATACTAACAAACCAGGAAGCCTAGAAGAAATGGATAGATTCCTGGACATATACAACCTACCTAAACTGAGCCATGAAGAAGGCATAGAAAACTTAAACAGATCCATAACCAAGACATAAATTGAATCAGTAATAAAGACCCTCCCAACAAAGAAAAGCCCAGGACTGGGTGGCCTCACTGCTGAATTCTACCAGACATTTATAGAAGAACTAACTACAATTCTTCTCAAGTTATTCAAAACAATTGAAAGGGAGGGAATCCTCCCAAATTCCTTCTATGAAGCCAGCATCACCTTAATTCCTACACCTGAAAAAGATACAACAGAAAAAGAGAACTCCAGACCAATTTCCCTGACGAATATAGATGCAAAAATCCTCAGCAAAATTCTAGCCAATTGACTCTAACAACACATCAAAAAAATGATTCACCCAGACTAAGTGGGATTTATCTCTAGTATGAGGAATGGTTCAACATTTGCAAATCAATTAATGTGATATGTCACATTAACAAATTAAAGAACAAAAATCATGATTATCTCAATAGATGAAGAAAAAGCATTTCATAAAATACAACACCCTTTCATGATGAAAACTTTAAGCAACTTGGGTATAGAAGAAACACTCCCCAACACAATCAACGCAATTTATGACAAAACCACAGCCAGCATCCTATTGAACAGGGAAAAGTTGGAAGCATTCCCACTAAGATATGGAACCAGACAAGTATGCCC